GTCCGCTCCAGTTCCCCATGCAGGGGCATGAGAGAAGTCTCCCATAAGGATGGCAAAACATCAAACATCCGGGAGTCCCCAGGGCAACGTCCTTGCAGACAGTCAATTCTCTCACACCAGAAGTGACTTGCAGTTTCTCAAGTCACTCCTGACATGAAAAAAAGCTAAGGCAAGCATACTAGAGAGCACAATGGACCCAGAGAGCGAAGTTGTGGAGGAACAGCTACCAACACTGTCCTCCTCAGTCTGCTACCTGGCCCTAAGGGCAAGGTTGCCCTATGAGCTTTGTCTCCATGGCAGCATATCCATGCAATTTAAAGGACTGTATCTGTTTTCACTGGAGCCATTGTGGGGTACAACTCTGAATCTCAGAGTTCAAATCCCCACTTGGCCATGAGACTCACTGAGGCAAGTCATACTCTCATTCTTTGAGGAAGTCCAGCCTCTTCGGAACAAATTTTACCAAGAAAACACTTTTGTTTTGTATTGTCGAAGGTTTTCATGGCTGGAATCACTAGGTTCTTTTGTTTTGGATTACAAATTCTACAATATCCAGTGACCATGCTAACCAGAGAATTGTAAAACCAAAGCCCAAAAGAAAGGCGGGGGTTTCGTCAAATTTCATTTCTGGAATGGCAAGACTATGTGAATTGCTGGTTGCAATCATTGTGTCGACTCCAGACACCCAAAATCCAATATTGCATCAGAAAGCAAAATAGAGGAAGGAAGGTGCTAGAAAATATGTATCATTACACATTCTCTCAATCTGTGAACTTTTCCCAACTCAGTGATTTCACTTCTTACTAGGAGCTAAAGTAGACCACAAGCTAGCTATGAGTCAACATTAGAGAAGCTTTCCACAGGATGGTTAAACATCCGGGCATCCCCTGGGCAACATCCTTGCAGACAGCCAATTCTCTCACATCAGAAGCGACTTGCAGTTTTTCAAGTTGCTTCTGGCATTAAAAAAACCCATTGTGATGTGTTGGCAAAAAAGCCAATGCAATTCTAGGCTGCAATTATAGAAGTATAGTGTCTCTCAAGGCAAGCCATGGTGCCTCTCTATTCTGCTGTGGTCAGAACTCACCAGGAATAATGTGTCCAGTTCTGGGCATCACAATTCAAGAAGGATAATAACAAGCTGGAACATGACTGGGGGAGCATGACCAAGATGGTCAAAGGTCTAGAAGGTCAGTATGAGCAGTGGTTTAGGGAACCCGATACATTTAACTTGAGAAGGTTGAGAGCTGATAGGATAGCCATCTTTAAATATCTGAAGATGCCAGCATGTCATATTGGGGCTCTGGAGTCTAGGATTTAAATCTCTGCTCTTGCCTAGAAAACCCCATGAAACATTCACCTTAGAGTTGCCATAAGTGGGAGACAACAACAACATGTAGGAAATGTATTTTTTGCTGTTGCAGTAACCTAGATACAAACTAGTGAATTCAAGTTACAAGAGAACAAAATTCCACCAAAACATTAGGAAGAACTTCCTCATTATAAGAATAGAACAGTGGCTCAGGCTGACTTGGAGGTCTTTAATCAGAGGTCAGTTGTCCATATCTCCAGAGTGCTTTAACTATAGGTTCTCACAATAAAAGGAAGATGCTAGATCTCCCTTGAGGAACCTTTCAAATTTTTGATTCTATGAATGTTTCAGGTTGTTTCAGAATTAACCTTTGGAATTGGATGTTGTACTTTCTGAGACTACAACTCCCAGAATCCTCCAGCTATCATGCATCGTAGCCATGCTGAAGTTATATTTTAAGTCTACACCAGTAGTTCTCAACCTTCCTAAAGCCACAACCCCTTAATACAGTGCCTCATGTTTGTGGTGACCCGCAACCATAAAAATATTTTCATCACTACTTCATAAGTGTAATTTTGCTACTATTATGAATCGTAATGTAAATATCTGATATGCAGGATGTATTTTCAATCACTGGACCAAATTTGGCCCAAATTCCTGATACACACAAATTTGAATACTGGTGGGGTTGGGGGGGGGGGGGTATTGATTTTGTCATTTGGGAGTGGTAGCGGAATACTCAATATGAAAAATATATGAACAGTGATGGAGTTTGGGGACAGTTGAGCTTGACATTTGGGAGTTGTAGTTGCTAGGATTTATAGTTCACCTATAATCAAAAAGTATTCTGACTTCCATTAACAATTAAACTGGGCCAAACTTCCCACACAGAACCCTCATGACCAACAGAAAATACTGTGTTTTCTGATGGTCTTTGGGGACCCCTCTGAAACCCCCTCATGACCCCCCATGGGTCCCGAACCCCAGCTTGAGAAACGTTGCTCTACACTTAAGGATGTTTCATAACTGGAACTCCAAGTGTCTGTGTATTTTAGAAAGAAGCATCTGGAGGGGATTTGAATTGGGCTTGTGATTCACTGGTGGGTGTGAAGGAACACGTAGGAAAGGCAGGAAGGTTACAGCCTGCTCTTACCAAAATTCACACTGTACTCAAATTGGATTTATGGAAAATATTTTAAAAGACACTGGCAGTTCCAGTCACGCCATGTGTAATCTGATCTCTGGTTACTCCCCTCCCATGTATAATTTAACCCTCAGCTGCCATTCTTCCACACACTGAAAAAAGTATTGTAAAGTAACATCAGGAGAATAATGAATGAATAGTAACTTTTCAAATGCCTTTCAACTTTGAATAAAGTCAGTTAAAAATAGGATTGCAAACTAGTAAGTCAACCACTGTTGAAAGGAAGCAGAGCAGGCCTTTTCCTGCTCCCTTTTAACCACCAGAAATAGGCAACACCCACTGGTTTACAGTGCAGAGAAACTTGGCAAAAAGGAGCGGAAAACGGAAAAAGTCTGACGTGGATAATTTCACAGAGTGAGAAGGAGTTCACACTGTTCCCAATTCAGTCTCTCTTTTAAACCTTTTGATTGAGTTTTTTCAGACATTATTGAATAAGCAAGTTGGAGGAATAGTAAAACTTACTTCGCCTTAAAACAAAACATAGGAAAAGCATTGTTTTAGAACAGGCATGGGCAAATTTTGGCCCACCAGGTGTTTTGGACGTCAACTCCCACAATTCCTAACAGCCTCAGGCCCCTTCGTTTTCCCCCTCAGCTGCTTAAGCTGTTAGGAATTGTGGGAGTTGAAAACCAAAACACCTGAAGGGCCAAAATTTGCCCATGCCTGGTCTAAACAATGCCTTCCAGTGTCCCTCTACAATGAATAAGATGACCCGTTTCCTGCCCCTCAACGTAACCTACTTCACAGGATTGTTGAGAGAACACAGTGCATCCACACTGTAGTATTAATGCACTTTGGCACCACTTGAACTGCCATGGCTCAATGTTATGGAACCCTGGGAGTTGCAGTTTCATGAACTCTTTAGCTTCCTCAGACCAAGAGTGCTGCCGCCTCACCAAAATTACAACGCCCAGGATCTCGTGGCATGGAGCTGTGGCGGTTCAAGTGGCATTAAACTGCATTACTCCTGCAGTGTAGATGCCACCATAGGGCAAAGCCAAAGTGGCCCTGAAATGGAAAGCAATAAACAAATCTATACCCATAATAAAAGTGAAAATATGTATGTATGTATGTATATGTATGTATGTGTGTGGCTGGAGTGCCCACTTACACAGACAGGCTCCTGCTTCCTGTCTGTCCAAATAGCTATAACTCCCACTACTCAGGAGACACTAATGGCCCTCCCTCCAATAACATTGCAGGTTATAGAGAGTGCCGTAAACATAAACAAGAGCTTGCCAATGTCCTCCACAAATGCCATACTGCCCACCACCCAAGTGAAGGCTTTCATACAGGGACAATTTCATCCTAGATTTTGTTTTTCCTCCACCACAGACATCCCAGTGTTTCTGCTTCTCTCCATTGGTGTGGATTTTGCATGATCCCCTCCCCCTCATAACCCTTTTCTGTACTTTTCTATGGCACACAGCAAACAAAGGAATTGAGCAGCAACTGAGCATACTAGAGAGGTTTGAGAAAAATTCACCAAGTTTATAGAAGTTGTAGGTACTGGGATGTATAGTTCACCTGCAACCTGAGAGCACTCCACTAATGATGGTCCTGGAACGAACTTGGCACAGAACCCCCCATGACCAACAAAAATACTGGAGGTATTTGGAGGGATTTATACGAGTTGTAGTTCACCTACCCAGAGTGCACTATGAACCCAAACAATGATGGATCTAGATCAAACTTGGCATGCATACCCGGTATGCCCAAATAGGAATACTGGTGGGTTTTGAGTGGAATTGGCCAAGACATTTTGCAATCAATGAGCACTTTGAACTCCACTAAAAATGGAATTGGAACAAATTTGGAACATGGAGCCCCCATGACCAGCAAAAAATATTGGAGGTCTTTGGGGATAATTCACCTTGATTTGGAGGAGTTGTAGTTCACCTACATCCAGAGAGTACTGTGAACCCAAACACCGATGGATCTGGACTACATTTGGTACACATACCTGATATGCCGAGATTTGATTACCGGAGGGGTTTGCCGGGAACTGTCCTTCCTTTCTGGAAGTTGTAGTTCACCCACAAGCAGAGAAACTGTGACCTCTACCAATGATGGACTTTGACCAAACTTGGCACGCAGAACCCCCATGACTAACCCAACCTACTGGTGGGGTTTGAAGGGACTGACTCACCATAGTGGGAGTTGTAATTTACCCTACAGCCAGAGTGCACACTAAACCCCACTGATGATGCATCTAAAGCAAACTTACCCAACATAACAAACTGTAAGTACTGATGCAGTTTTTCGGGGTTAACCTGGCATGACATGAATTGTAATTCACCCACAACTTTTGCATTTTGTACAATTTCAAATAACCCAAGCAATGCTGGGTACACAGGCTAGTGTACTAGTAAACATATCGAGAAAAACTGTGATAGAGTTGTGTCTTTCCTTACCTCTTGCATTCATTGAATTAGATTGTACAAGAGGAGAGAGAGAGAGGAGAGAAAGCCAAGTCTGACTCACCTTGGCCATGGCTTCGGGGATTCTTCAGGTGAGGCAAAGGAAATCTGCAAAAGAGGATGGAGTTTAGCCCAGAAGTCAAAGGATTTTCAGTGGGATTTTCAACGTGCATAAACTGAATATACTGGAGTTTAACACAGTCTGAGACCACTTGAACTGCCATGGCTCAATGCTCTGCAACCAGGTGAGATGTAGTTTGGCAAAGTGTGCTGCTACCTCGCCAAACAACTCCTAGCTCAAGCCACAGCAGTGCAAGCAGTGTCAAACTCCATTCATTGCATTGTCAAAGGCTTTCATGGCCAGAATCACTGGGTTGTTGCGAGTTTTCCAGACTGTATGGTCATGTTCCAGAAGCATTATTTCCTGATGTTTTGCCTCTAAAATCAAAACAGTAAATAAAGAGCAACATTTAAAAAACAGGGGAATTCCAGACAAGAAACAATCAGAGCCAGCTAATAATATCCCAACAAAGGATTCCCCCAGGGAGGAAGCAGCCAGACCTTGAAACTGCAAGACCATTAAGTGCTAATCAAGATGGTCAATTGCAACAACAACACTCAAAACAGGGGAATTCCAGACAAGAAACAATCAGGGCCAGTTAATCACCTCCCTACAAAAGATTCCCTCAGGCAGGAAGCAGCCATACCTTGAAACTGCAAGGCCATTAAGTGCTAATCAAGCCGGTCAAATGCAACAACGCTCAAAACTGGGGAATTTCAGACAAGAAACAATCAGGGCCAGCTAATCACCTCCCAACAAAAGATTCCCTCAGGCAGGAAGCAGCCATACCTTGAAACTGCAAGGCCATTAAGCGCTAATCAAGCCTGTCAAATGCAACAACAACGCTCAAAACTGGGGAATTTCAGAAAAGAAACAATGAGGGCCAGCTAACCACCTCCCAACAAAAGATTTCCCCAGGCAGGAAGCAGCCAGACCTTGAAACTGCAAAACCATGAAGTGCTAATCAAGCTGGCCAATTGCAATATTCACACTTGCCTCAAGCAGACAAGAGTTCCTTCTCTCACCCTGGACATTCCACTTTCCTAGTTTCCAACAGACCTCACAACCTCTGAGGATGCCTGCCACAGATGCAGGCGAAACGTCAGGAGAGAATGCTTCTAGAACATGGTCATACAGTTCGGAAAACTCGCAGCAACCCACTGCATTCATTGCGCCCGAGGTGGAGAAAGTCGCTCCAGCCAACGCCCCAACTTTGCGAAAGCTCGAGGCGAGGAAAACTCTCTAGAATGTAAACAATGCAGAGCAGCCTACAGGGCTCCCCAACCCAAGCCCACCTGGGTCTCTCCTTTCAGGCAGAAGCAGAACTTACCTGAAACTCAGCCGAGAGGGAGACCCAAAGAGAGAGAGAGAGAGAGAGAGAGACTGCTCTGCCGACAGCACTGAAGTCAGTGGCGCAAGAGGCAGAAGGAAACTCTCCTCGCCACGCCCTGGATTGGGAGGCCTCTGACCACGCCTCAGAGGGCCTCCCTTTCCTCCTTCCCTGCCTGCCTCTTTCCTGGCCTTCTCTCTCCCTCTGGAGTCACAAGACTGCCGGGTGGGGACTCCCCTGACTCATCCACACTGTGCAATGAATTCCCTTGCAATGCCACTTGCCCTGCCATGGCTGCATACTAAGTATGGGAGCCTTCCACTTCTGCAGTATTGGGCAGAGAAGGCTCCAGATCTTGGCTGGAGCTACACTGCCATGTTATTCAGTTTCTGGACCCAGATGAACCGCTTTGAACTGGGTTATTTATTTATCGTGTCAGGAGGAACCAGACAGTGGTATTACATTTTTAACAAAACAAACAAACAGACAAAAACACAAAGTTTGCAAGCTTGGTAGTTGATTAAATGTCCTTTGACCTGAAGCTGGTCTCTTGGAGTGCCTCTGGTGTTGCCGCAAGAAGGTCCTCCATTGTGCATGTAGCAGGACTCAGGTTGCATTGCAGCAAGTGGTCAGTAGTTTGCTCTTCTCCACACTCGCATGCCGTGGATTCCACTTTGTAGCCCTATTTCTTAAGGTTGGCTCTGCATCTCGTGGTGTCAGAGCGCAGTCTGTTCAGCGCCTTCCAAGTTGCCCAGTTTTCTGTGTGCCCATGGGGGAGTCTCTCATTTGGTATCAGCCATTGGTTAAGGTTCTGGGTTTGAGCCTGCCACTTTTGGACTCTTGCTTGCTGGGGTGTTCCAGCAAGTGTCTCTGTAGATCTCAGAAAACTATTTCTTGATTTAAGTAGTTGATGTGCTGGCTGATACCCAAACAAGGAATGAGCTGGAGATGTCACTGCCTTGGTCCTTTCACTATTGGCTGCTACTTCCCGGGGATGTCAGGTGGTGCAATACCGGCTAGACAGTGTAATTTCTCCAGTGGTGTAGGACGCAGACACCCCGTGATAATGCGGCATGTCTCATTAAGAGCCACATCCACTGTTTTAACACTGTTTGAACTGGGTTACACTATGTAACACTATGTTATTACACTATGTTATTATAGAATATTGTTTGGCTATGTGTTTTTTAATTTATTGATGTCAAGATTCATTTATTGATGCCAGGTTTTTAATTTGATGTTAGGTTTTAATGCTACGTTGATATGTGGGGTTTTTCTCAGATTTTATGTCAGTTTCAAGTGTTTTGTGTAGGCATTGAATATTTGCCATTGTTATGTTGAAATCTACCCTGAATCCCCTTGGGGAGATAGGGTGGAATACAGATAACGTTTTTATTATTTTACTGACACAAAAACACAGTATGTCCCAACAAACGAGATATATATGCTGGATTTTGCATCACAAAACCACAAGTCGAACACTTCCCAAACGTCAAGGACTGTGTGATGTATTTTCAAATGATGCGCACCATTTGCAGTTGACAAATTGTGATTTTGTCGATGTTTATTGTTTCCAAATGCCGGCTTTAGGTCTTTTGGCACGGCAACCAGTGTGCTGACGACCACTGGGACCATCTGTACTAGTTTATGCCAGAGCCTTTGCAGCTCATTTTTGAGGTCTTGATAATGGCTGAGTTTTTCCTGTTGTTTTTCGTCAATTCAGCTGTCACCTGGTATGGTGACAGCAATAATCCAATTTTTTTTCCTTTCCACAATCGTGATGTCTGGCGTATTGTGTTCCAAAACTTTGTCAGTCTGGATTCGAAAGTCCCACAGTATTTTTGCATGTTCATTTTCCACGACCTTTGCAGGTTTATGATCCTACCAATTCTTTACTGCTGGCAGGTGGTACTTGTGGCATAAGTTCCAGTGAATCATTTGGTCCACAGAGTTGTGCCAGTAGTCCATCTGTGCAATTTTCTTGCAACAGCTGAGGATATGATCCATGGTTTCATCAGGTTCCTTGCACAGTCTGCATTTTGGGTCATCAGCTGATTTTTCAATCTTAGCGGTTATTATTATTATTATTATTATTATTATTATTATTATTATTAATGTTCCTGGGTTATAAATAAATGCCACTTCCTAATTGGTTCTGTCATAAAAGACATTGGAAAACTTTTATCAAACTGCAGAAGCTTGGGAACTTGGGTTGCTGCGAGTTTTCTGGGCTGTATGGCCATATTCCATAAGCATTTTCTCCTGGTGTTTTGCCTGCATCTATGGCAGGCATCCTCAGAGGTTGTGATATCTAGGAAAATGGGGTTTATATATCTGTGGAAGGTCCAGGGTGGTGAAAGAACTCATGTCTTTTGGAGGCAAATGTGAATGTGGGAACATAGCTATAAAGCCCGGAAAACTCACAGCAACCCAGTGATTCCGACCATGAAAGCCTTCAACAAAAAATTTCTTTTTGTGGCACATCCTGTAGCACTTTTTGCTATGGTTTGTCAATGAATATCTCCTCCAGTCTCAACTGATTCAGCATAGTGTGTGGCAGCCACAAAAACGGAAGTTTCTGGAGTGTAACATCTAGTTTCAAAGCAAGTCCTGCACAATTAAAGAGGAAATAACACTTTCAAACCAGGAACAGAAAATGTTTCAATTTTGTTACATAGTGTTACATGAGTCTACAGCAGGCATTGGCAAACTTGGGCCCTTCAGGTGTTTTGGACTTCAACTCCCATAATTCCTAACAGCCTCAGCTAAAGCGGCTGAGAGGGGAAAGGAAAGGACCCAAGGCTGTTAAGAATCATGGGAGTTGATATCCAAAACACCTGGAGGGCCAAGTTTATGCAAACCTAATCTAAACTGTAGAATGAATGCAGTTTGACACACTTGAACTGCCATGGCTCAATGCTATAGAGTCCTAGGATTTGTACTTTGCCAGGGCAACAGCACTCTTGGGATGAGAAGGCTAAAGACCTAAACTACAATTCCCAGGATTCTTCAGCATTGAGATTTGACAGTTAAAAATGATGTCAATCCACATTAATTCTGCAATGTAGATGCACTCACTGTCATGGATCCACCACCTTGATTTTCATAGAATCAAAGAGTTGGAAGAGACCTTTTGGGCCATCCAGTCCAACCCCCTGCCAAGAAGCAGGAAAATCATGGTCAAAGCCCCCCTGACAGCTGGCCATCCAGCCTCTGTTTAAAAGCCTCCAAAGAAGGAGCCTCCACCACACTCCGGGACAGAGAGTTTCACTGCTGAACAGCTCTCAGAGTTAGGAAGTTATTCCTAATATTCCAGTGGAATCTTCTTTCTTGAAATTTGAAGCCATTGTTCCACGTCCTAGTCTTCAGGGCAGCAGAAAACAAGCTTGTTCCCTCCTCCCTATTGCTTCTTCTCACATAATGTATACATGGCCATCATGTCTCCTCTCAGCCTTCTCTCTTGCAGGTTATACCTGCCCAGCTCTTTAAGCTGCTCCTCATAGGGCTTGTTCTCCAGACCCTTGATCATTTCAGTCACCCTTCTCTGGATACAGGCATGTAGCCAGGAGGGGGGGGGCTTGAGGGGCTTCAGCCCCCCCCCCCCAAATTTTCATGGTGGCCCAAGAGAAGGCCTTACTGGTGCATTATTTAAACTGTTATGTTTATTCATATCATGATCTGATCACCATGCTCAATATATCCCATATGCATGGGGGTATTGGGGTAACAATACAAAAGGTTTGCTAGGGTAGACCCTCTTTCACTCAGACTCACCCCCCCCCCCCAATCAAACTCAGCCCCTCCTGAATCAAAATCCTGGCTACAGGCCTGTCTGGATACATTCCAGCTTGTCAACATCTCCCTTAAATTGTGATGCTCAGAATTGTACACAATATTCCAGGTGTGGTCTGACCAAGGCAGAATGGAGGAGTATCATGACTTCCCTGGATTAGGCTTGGGCGGTTTCGTTCGTTAATTTCGTAATTCGTTATTAATTCGTATTTAAATTAGCTTACGATCCAATATTGAGCCATGCAGGACTACTGTGAGGAGTAATTAAAAATCGAAACAATTTTTCCAATTTATTTCGTATTGTTTCGTAATTGTTTCGTAATTGGTTCAAAATTGTTTCGAAATTGTTTCGTAATTGTTTCGTAATTATTTCCGTATGTCTGGTGCAAGTTTTATAGTTGTTGTTTGTTTTATCAGTGATAAAAAATAAATTATCACACCAACAGTCAACAACAGAGGGAGAGGGAAGCTTCAGAAGTTCCCCCTGTCCCATTTGGAGGTTTTTTAGCATATTGCGCAATCGCGTCCGCCATTAACGAATCGATTCGTAATTTTACGAAATTTCGTATATTTCGAACTTTTTTAAAGGAAAATTTCAGAATTCTTTAAAAAAACGAAACTCAAGGGCCCCCCTAAAAACGAAACGAGTTAAGAACCAAAATTTTCCGTAGTTACCCAAGCCTGCCCTGGATCTAGACACTAGACTCCTATTTATGCAGGTTAAAATCCCATTGGCTTTTTTTGCCACTTCATGACATTGTTGGCTCATGGCTCATATTTAACTTATTGTCCACAACATCTCCAAGATCTTTTTTACACATACAGCTTTCAAAACAGGCGTCCCCCATTCTGTATCTTAGTATTTCATTTTTTTCCTGCCTAAGTGGAGTATCTTGCATTTGTCTCTGTTGAACTTCATCTTGTTAGTTTTGGCCAATCAGATCTCTAATCTGTTAAAATCATTTTGAATTCTGCTCCTGTCCTCTGGGGTATTGGCTACCCCTCCCAATTTGGTGTTGTCTACAAACTTGATGATCATTGGCTTCTAACCCTTTGTCTAAGTCATTATTAAAGACCCCGAACTGAATTGTTGTCGTTCTAATATTGAATTTCTAAAAGAAAAAATACCCCCAAAAAACTACATTAATTCTGCATTGTGGAAGTCATGTAGTGTGACACTACTTCAAATGCTATGAAATATTGGGAGTTATAATTTGGTACAGCAACAGCACTCTTAGGCAGAGGGACTCAGGGCGGTTTCCAATATATATGCCAAAAAGGAAAACCATACAAACAAATTACATCACAATAAATCACATCAAACAATGAATAAGCAGCCTAACTTAAA